CGATTCAGATCATCCACAATCTTTTGGCCTTGAATGTTTACAGGTCAATTTCTGCCATGCACAACGAATGGTTTGAAGTTTTCTGTTTTTTCATATTATTTTAGAACGCACACACACACACACACACAAATCCAGTCCTCATATTGTGCCTGGCTGGTACAGCTCTCATCCAACATTAATTGAACTGAGGGACACCGAGGACTTTTAGGGCATGTATTTCACGCTGTCCTGATAGGACACTAGGGGAGCAGGAGGAGAGAATTGCTTTGATGTGATTCATTTGTGGAGGACAGCGTGCCATACATCACCAATGCCACACTGAGTATATGAGCCTTCATTCTATAAACAATAGATCGCTTAAGCAGTAGCAGTTTTAAGCATCCTCATCTCTTGTGACTTTGTTTATCTTACAAATAAATGCTTGGTTTATTTTACAAGCTAGAATCAATGCCACATTTTGCAAAACATTACATTTACTATTTAAAATTGTGTAAAATCATTGCATCTACAGTATTTAATTATAAAAATGCTGCAAGTTTAATTTCCAACCAGAATGCCACAATACATTTAGTTAACAACAAACTGCTAATTTACCAGTCATTGGCGGCACATTATATTAGAGGCTCTTTTCTGTCATTTAACATTAGTGAGTAAATTCAAGTTTGATTCATTGCCAAATCATTAGAAATGTAAAGCATGATACCTGAGGTGCATGTTTTCAATCAAGCTAAATAAGGTTAGTTTAGTTAGTTAAAGGTTAGTTGCCCCCAGTCCACGTGTAAATGAGAGAACACTAATGAAGTAAAATAACGATGCCAGCAGTGAGTGGTTACACTAGATGTGTAAAGAGATTAGATGAGGCTGAATCAAAGTCAAGGCCAATCTTATCTGATCAGCTTGATAAGAACTGTACACCAGTGCCACCATTCCAGAGCAACTCTAAATAAATGATGATAACAGTTGAAATGTTCTAATTGCATCATGAGGACATTTACAGAGTGTGGGGGTCTCATATGAGCAAAACACAGAGCCGACAGTAAACAAGGACATTCAAGGACAACATCCAAGCTGTGATAACTGCAATAAACCAGCAGTGCTCATAATGATGGCAGAAACAATTTCCCCAACCAACACAATCTTCTTATGGTTTACTTGATGTTGTCTCCAATGAAGACTACAGGCAGTTAATAGTGAAAACCCCATAGAGAAAGTCCTCTTGAGGTTGAGATTAGCCCACCCAACAGTGTCGTTGCTGAGTATTTAGAATTGAGAGGCTGGGGGAGAAATTATTTCAAAGCGTTTCATGCATTTACATATAGAGCTACAATATATTTTTGTTGTTCAAAAAAAATTAAACATATAAACACTGCTTACCTTATTGAAATTGTTTTTATTATTTACTGAAAAAATAAAATGAGAGTGCATGATAGTCAGCAACATTCATGTTCAAATGAGCTTATTTTTCCTATGCTGTGATAGCAGTGCAAAACAAAGAAAGTTACTGTTGTTTTTGGAATGTCATTGATGTTTGACCTGATTTACCTTTAATAGACATTCGCTAAAAATATCCCGAAGATAAGGTGACATGATGAATATGTCTTATTGATATGTCAGACTGATTTCATGCTATGACTGATTGGAGACTTATTTGCATTATGTCATAGTTCTGCTCTCCTGAGAGGCATACATATCTTTAGCTGAGCACATTATTTGGAAGGTTTATGCACTCACCAGGAATCTTATGCAAAATATATTCTTAAATAAAACAACTCACTTCCTGAGTGATATCTGCATATTTAGGAACATTTAAATTACCTTATTATTCATATTACTGAGGTGGGATGAAGAATTATGTGAACAGTTACAGTGTTCATAAAATGGGTTTAATATATAATTGTGCATTTATTTCAGTTTTAAGTGTGATCAATTGAGAAAACAAATTTCACACTATAATTATTAAGAGACCCAACAGACCAGACTCAAACCGGAAGAATCAGGTCAAGCAATCTCAGTGCTTAAATTATTAGAGCATATTTCACATTATCAAGACTCGCTGAGCTTCTTTATGGGTTCATTTATTCTGAGTCGCCTTTGTTTGATATAACTCAAATAATTTCTGGGCTGAAATGAATCATTGCCCTCTACATGACACAATCTAAGTCATAAATCTCAAGCAAATATGCCTTAGTGGAACCGTTTGTATTATAAAATTTAATTTAGAGAGTAATACATTACATTTCTGTTGACAAAAGACATTAGAACAGAATAGGAGGTACAAGCAGAGACAAAAAAATGTGTTTGCACTCTTGTGGCAGATCATGACATATAATGCCATGACATAATATTTCTCTCTGCATGAAAATTTGAAGGTGAGGGGAAAATGTATTTGTTCAGAATATAAAAAAATAAGTTTATATGAAAATATACATCACATGTATTACCATGCAAGTGACAATTAGTCCAGTTTTATCATAAACTATAGACACATTCTGCTTAATAGACCCCAAGTTATTTTCTCTCTTGATAAACTGATTATATTCTGGACACATGAGGATTTCTATAAAAAAAAACTAAAAGTGCCAATGAACAGTCATCCGTGTAAATGCCTCGCTAGGCAATTACAGAGGCAATCAATATTCCCAATAGCGTTTGGGACAGTAAACGGTTACAATGCAATACAGGTTGCATTTATGAGGTTTTGAAGTATCTCTCTCTGCTCTGTTAGTTTAACAGATTACATTTTTTCATGCTGTGAAATATGGTACTGCTTTGTTTTATCAATGATGTTTTTGTCTGATGCAAGCAAAATTGTTAAGTCAAAGACAAAGACATGTGCAGATATTTTGCAACATCATTTTATAACACTCAAAAGAAACTGTGCAAGAGCACAAAGCATCAGAACAGATTCTATCACTCCAGTCGCCTGATCCAGTTTGCTATAGTATTGGATAGCTTTAGAAAGACTAAAAAAAAACTATAGGCTGAAAGAGCTTAGGAGATTTCAAAGAGGCTATAAAAACCAACCACGTCACAGGCAATTAAACCAAATCAATATGCATCTCTAGGAGTGAAGAGTAATACAAGAGTTTATGGTTATGAAACTTAGAACGCCTTGTTTTCTCCAACTTTAGAGACCAGCCAACATCAGTAATCCCACGGATATTGTGCCCTTGACCAAGGCATGTAACAAGGCAAAAAAAAAAAGGGGATTAAAAAAGTGACTACTAAATGCCAAATTTTAAAGTAAGAGCCTTAATGTTTGGGCAGGAAAGAAAAAATGGGGTATAACTTCTCCACCATATTCAAATGCATGCTAACTGCTTCCAGACTTAATGATGGCAGTTGTCAGGTGGACATTTGAGAGACATTGGGAAAGATTCAGGTGCAGTAGAGAGAAACCAGTGCTGAGACAAGCTGTCAAACAGTTCAACACCACAAGCTGAAAGCCTAGACAGGGAGGCACATTCTGAACCAGAATAATGAGCTGCTGCCTGCCCTCAACACATGCAAAACAACCTTCATATACAGTACACATAGAAACGATTACTTGTGGAGCATTTCTCTTTATTTAAAATGCTGGATTTAAAATGATAATGCATAAGCATATACACAAACACACGTCTTCTAATAATATCTGACTTTTTTGTGCAGTTAAAAGAAATACACCACTTGTCAAGGGAAGCGCTAAGAATGGGCCTAATTTTTCCTCAATTGAAATCATTCATTGCAAGTCACATTTTAATCATTTTTATAGTTAACTTCTGGTCCTTTATGCTGCCTAAGAGGTAAAGATAATTACGTTTATTGAAGGTAAACTTTGTTGACCTTGATTCATCCAGATGCAAATTATCGAGACATATAGCTAACTCTGAAAACAAAACAGAATAAACTTTAGCAAATCCATCCAACTACCTTTTTTTATCAGAAGTATCCTCTTCATTAGCCTGATATAATCTTGACAAAGCTTAACAAACCCGCTGAGACAATAAAATAATACTCACCTGAATGCAGTGTGATTTGGACCACGGAAAGCCAAAACAGACACACATTTTTACCTACCGCGTTTTAAAATACATACAGTCGTGTTTGTTTACCTTATCAAAGATTTTATTTTAAAAAAGAGACTTTAGTGACATTGCACTAAATATTTTTTGCACTCTTTCAGACTCTATTTATTGATGTAGAAGTGTATTTTGTTTTGTATGTAAGGAGGGATTGAAATTGCAGAAATTTAAGTATTTAAAAACTGTTAAATAAAACAGTTTGTTCAGTTCAGTGCTGTTGTTATAATTGTCAAAATCAGAAATAAAACAAGAAATAAATATCGGTTCTGTATATCGGTTATCAGGCATATAAACATGCAAACAATTGGTATCGGTATCTGTTACAAAAAAATATCTATCTAATATTTAAAAAAAATCTAAAATCGGTCCATCTTTAGTTAAAAACATGCAACTGAGGCTGAGACTAGTCAGTGGAACCATTTCATACTTTAATACAGTAATATTTTTACGAGTTTCTTCATTACACTTCGCACACGTAACATTTCAAAAATGTATTAAAGTGTATTTAGCCTACAATACTTTGATAAACACAATTAAATGATAAAGACCCATACATAGCATAGGGTAGAAACCCTGAATATACACCGACCAACTTCAGATCAGTACACACTCAATAAGTTACAGACAAACAACAAAAATAAAGATAAAAGCTTTTGGGGAAATCGAAAGAGTTTGATTGAAAGTGGGCTTTGTTAAGCGCATTTGAGCGCTCGCATATAGAGTGGGCGAGTGACTTTGGCTGAAGGGACATTATGCACCAGGCGCTCGCGCATTCGTGGATCAGACCTCACCGAGGACACATCTGCAGATATTTCTTGGATTTTTGTTTAGCATCTCGAGCTTCCGCAAATCAACTGCCATCAGTAATTTCTAGTAGTAAATCAACACGTTATTTGTCATTCTGTAATGGAGGATCCCTTTTTTCGTGTGCTTTTTGTCATTTATTTAAGAACATGCCACATTTTCTCCGATATACCTAATGGACAAAAATGATTAGAATGTTAGAAATCTCGGTGATTGGAATTCTTCAGCATATTCTGATTTGTATAACTCGAGACCGTTCGACTACCTGTAGGATTGCATCAAGCGCGTGAGGGAGGCGGTGATGCCCAGGAGGTAATGCGCATTAGTATAATGTGACACAATTCGGGGTTTTTTTGCACTCGAACGGAGGTTCCTGTGTACATCGTGTAGATTTATACCCGGTAAATATAAGCTAATGGAGCCACCGTAATCTCAAGGAGAAACGACAGCACGTTGTGTTTGAACAGGCGTTGGGAATCTCTACGTTTATCCTTCAAACCCAGTTGAAGATGTACAGAACAAGGGGGACATTTCCCGCAATATACGCGTACCTGTACCATACAAGCTCCGTCTGAATGGCAATACTTGAATGTTTCGTGAAATCATATGGCAATAGTTTTTGCACCTGATGCAATGCAATCCGCAATCGATCGAATGAATGATAATTTCTGCATGAGTGTGCAGTGACTAATCGCACCTGGGCCACAATAAGACAGGATGAAGATGAATCAGACAAGCGTTGTGATTGTTGGCTTTGAGCTTCCAAAAAGCGCTCTGTGGTAAAGTTGCAGTGGCCGAACTACAGGTGCTATATGAAGATCAGGATACAAGCGTTGGTTTGTCCTCGCAGAAATGCCCGTGCGTGCTGTGACTTCCAGGTTCATGTACAGGGGACTTTGCTCTATTCCAGATATCCTCTCCTACAGGGCTCCTGTCAGCCTCCCCGAGGATGAAGTGGAGGGTAAGTGATATTTCCTTTTAAGTTGAACGGAGACGTTATCTGTGGGGATAGTATACTTTGTGAATGTGGGTTTCAGCACCACGGAGAGCGTCCTGCGGCAGCCACAATGAAGAAAGTGCTTGTTTTTTTCCTTCACACTACTGATTTATTTTATTTTTTTCATGTATAGGCTACTACGAATTGTGCATATTTTCATTTAGATTATGCTGGTTTTGAAATGAGCGTATGAACAAACGCCATCACACGGAGTTCAAAGCTTGCAATATGAAGGGTGAAGGTGGGCGTTCATATCTAAATACAAATGTCGCAAATGACTAGTATTTTAACACTTGTATGACATTCAACATTTACAAATAATACTCAATCTTTTGAGTCACATTTAAGAAATGACAAATTGCTAATCATTTTGATAGATGCTCACATCATATAAGATCAATGTAAACAATTTAACAAACCATTCAATTCTGTCCAATCACGTGTCTTCAAGAAAACACATTTTGTGTGATTTTATACATATTGTTTCTGTGTACAGCCTTCCAATATGTGCATGCATGTGATGTGATACACAGACCTAACTGAGACTCATTCAGTTCCTGAGAGATAAAGGCCTGTCTCTTAATTTTTCCTTAATTATATATGGTGATATGGGGAATTTCTTTAAAGCATTTTCTTTTTGTTTTAGAATATGAAATCAGATACCACATTTAATCTCATGTCTGCTTTAGCTATATTGTAGTCCATTGTGTCCATTTATAGATTATTTTTACACCATGTTAGCTGAACAAATTGAGTTTGTTTTTACACCAAAAAGTGTTCCCATTATTTAATGTTAACAGACTCTTGCAATAATTTACTTGCAATTTTGCATTTTATCTATAATATCCACTATGAGGATGTCATGGCAAGTGAAAATATGGCTTGTCAAATTCCAATATTTTCAGAATTACATAAAAATGTACTTGTGACTATTATTAATGACTTTTAATACAGTTATTAATGTTTTAGTTGATTGTCTCCTGATATTTAAAGGACACTCACTCATAGCACTTATTTATCAAATTTTCCCCCCTGTAATTAATCCGGAAGAAGTCAGAAACTGGTTCAACTTTCCAATCAGGCATACTGATATACTTAATGTTAACGTTAATATTAGAATCATTAGAAATTGTATGTTGTGACGTGGCATTGTATCTTGCGCATCTGCAGAGATCCGTGAAGCCTTTAAGGTGTTTGACCGTGATGGGAATGGATTCATCTCCAAACAGGAGCTGGGAGTGGCCATGCGGTCTCTTGGTTACATGCCAAACGAAGTGGAGCTGGAGGTGATCATTCAGAGACTGGACATGGATGGTATATCAGCCCTCACAAACATTTCATGTGTTGGCCACACAAGCTCTGCACATTTCAGCACATAACATTCCTAACTAAATTACGTGATATTCTCTAGATCACTATTAATTCGTCTTGTTCTGATTAGATCTATGCACTGTTATGGGAACATCAGAGAGCTATGGTGGAATTGCAAATTCAATATAAAACAACTGCAAGAGCAAAACAATTCAATATTGTAATGCTTATTGTGAATCATTGAACAAAGGCCTGATGTTTCTGATGACGACTCAAAGATTAGAGTCTGGCTGTTCTGCTGGATCAGCGTAAGATTACAATCTCCCACAAGAAAAGGTAACAGTGAAGCTGGCCCGTGTGTTTCGTATCTTTTATTTTGCAGGTGATGGTCAGGTTGACTTTGAAGAGTTCGTAGCACTTCTCGGACCAAAACTGTCTTCAGCTGGTATGCCTGACAGGTTCCACGGAGCCGAGTTTGACTCCATATTCTGGAAGGTGTGGAGGTTTTCTTTGAAATAATCTCAATTATTTCCCCACATACTGTATATAGTCACTCTCAATGATTAGTTCTGTCTGGCTTCAGCTTTACTTTGTCCCATTGTTCTGTGACTCCCTGTGATTACGGGTGGAAAAGAAGATTATTCATATATTATTCACACTCTACAATTAACTTGCTGACATTCCTTTGGTAGTAATAGCACTGAATTAAAATGAATGTTGAAAGTGCTGATTCGGTCCATTAAAAGGCAATATTCTCTTAAATGTGCTATTTAGTATAACTCATCTGTGCATTACCCGCTGATCATTTTATATAATCATTTACAGGAACATTCAGAATTTTAAACATTGTTCCTTTAATGAAAAGGTCACCTTTTTACTCTTCTTTTTCCTTGTGTCATTAGTGTGACATGCAAAAGCTGACTGTGGATGAGCTGAAGAGACTCCTGTATGACACCTTCTGTGACCATTTGACTATGAAAGACATTGAGAACATTATAATGACAGAGGAGAGTCACTTAAACAGCCCCGAGTGCCAAGTAGATATTGACAGTAAGTATTCATACATTAACAATTCTCAGAAAAAAAAAGAAAAAAAAACATAAGAAAATTGTGCCAAACATGATACATTGACCTTGACCTGTTTGCCTCTACCATATGCGCTCCCTGTGTGTGCCCACGCATCCGTTTCATTATGAAGTGTCTGGGCATTATCATGTCAATCAAAATTGTCTGTCAACTCCATTAAAAACCCAGACACTGAGGCCATTGCTGTAGTGTAGAAAAACGGTCTATTTTTAGCTGAAATATATGCTGTTGGTAGTCCTGGGGAAATAAAGGAGCTCATAAATCTGTTTGAAGCAGGACAGTGGGGAGTGTATCTGCAAATGAACTTGAGTGTATCTGCAATTGAGAACTTGGTAGAAAAATCCATTTTTACTGAATACCAGCAACTGGTAAATTTGTATTCCTTTTTGTAATAAGTTTATACTCATATTGTATCTAAATTAAGCAAAAAAAAAAACTAAAACCCACTTGAGGACAAAGTTGAGAAACATAACGTTCGCCACATCAGCCAGATAATTACAGTATGATTGCGCGTGTGATTACTTTATACAACAGCTTAATAATCAACAAGTTAAAACATACATTTTAAACACTATATTGGCAGTTTTCTGTTTTGCAAGTTCGTGTAAAGTTTCGGTTTTTAGCGTTTATTTGTTGAATGAATGATTCAATGACTCACTCATAAAGACAGGGGCTGAATTCAGATTAGCATACTAGAATGTCCAAACACATAGTATTCAAAAAACAGTAGGCGAAAATTACCCGGATGACCTTCTACTTCCACCAAGATTCTGAAGTGAGCATTTGATAAATACTTTACTATCCCGTGAGGCCACTGGAGAGTGTGAATGTGTGAATGGCAGTGGAGCGACGCAACATTACTGTGACAACATCGCAGATGTAGTACGTCCGAATTTCATTCATCCTACCCATATTTCTTCTATATAGAGAGCCCGTTCTCATCCCAAGGCGTCATAAACTGATTTCGTCTAAATCCAACGCACATGGTACCCTTTAGCGTCAATATGAGACGTAGATATATATGGGCCAGATGGCGCCTCCTAGTGGTCTAACCCTAACCCTACCCCAGACTTAAACCTACCCATAACTATATTGACGCTAAAGGGTGCCATGTGCGTTGGATTTAGACGAAATGTCAAAAGTGTCAGTTTATGACGCCTTGGGATGAGAATGCGTTGATATAGAACATACTTCTTTAATGGTCATGAAAAAAGTTTCAAACCAAATGTAGTAGCTACTATACAGTATGTGATTTCAGACTCTATACAGCGAGTTTCATTGACTCACTTATAAAGACAGTCACTTGTCGCTCGCCACCTACTGGTGAAACTATGTAACCTACAGAAAGGCACTGAAAAGTCTACTTTAAAGGGATACTCCACTTTTTTTGGAAATAGGCTTATTTTACAACTCCCCCAGAGTTAAACTGTTGAGTTTTACCGTTTTTGAATCCATTCAGCCGATCTCCGGTTCTGGCGGTACCACTTTTAGCATAGCTTAGCATACATCATTGAAGTGGACAAGACCATTAGCATTTCTCAACAAAAAAATGACCAAAGAGTTTCGATATTTTTCTTATTTAAAACTTGACTCTTCTGTAGTTACATCGTGCACTAAGACCGACGGAAAATGTAAAGTTGCGATTTTCTAGGCTGTTATGGCTAGGAACTATACTCTCATTCCTGCGTAGTAATCAAGAAACTTTACTGCCGTACCATGAGTGCAGCAGGCGTAATGATATGACGCAGCGCCTGAAAATAGTCCCCAGCTCGGTAACTTCCAAGGGGGTAATCCATCGACCGGAAGTTGAAGCCGGCCGGGTGCCGCCATCTTGTAGCAGAACTTCACTTGCGTTAGCATTTCCATTGACTCCCATTCATTTTGGCGTCACTTTGACAGCGAATAACTTTACATCTGAGGCGTTTAAAAACTCCATTTGTCCATTATTTATTTCTAAAGAAACACGACAATGTATAAAAGGCTCCATTACTTTGTATCTTACGTTATGGCCCCGTAGAAGCCGTTTTTTAAAAACTAGGCTAACGATTCCGTCATAACACGCGACTCTCTGGCGCACACTAGAGAAAATTACTGTATAGACAGAAGTAGAAACTCGCGCGCAATCGGGGGGACGTGGAGGCATAAAGTCAAGGGAGAACCCCATAGAGAGTTGTAAAGTTGCTCCTGCTGCGAGCTCATGGACAGCTAATACTCACGATCTCCGGCTCTGCAAGTTTCGGAAGGGAATGATTCAGATTCCTATTGGCACAGCCACTAGAATATTTACGTCTGTCAGACAGGTTGCTCACGTCATCAAGCTTAGTTTGAGTCGGTTTGAGTCTGCGCGTCAGAAACGGAAGTGCTCAAAAATCGCTAAAAATGGGCTTCAACTGTCTCAACTGAGTTCCAATGAGATAGCTCTGTCCATTTCTTATACTGTCTATGGTAACTTCCAACGTGACCGGGACTAAGTGCCTGCGCCTGCTGCACTCATGGTACGGCAGTAAAGTTTCTTGATTACTACGCAGGAATGAGAGTATAGTTCCTAGCCATATCAGCCTAGAAAATCGCAACTTTACATTTTCCGTCGGTCTTAGTGCACGATGTAACTACAGAAGAGTCAAGTTTTAAAAAGGAAAAATATCGAAACTCTTTGGTCATTTTTTTTTTAGAAATGCTAATGGTCTTGTCCACTTCAATGATGTATGCTAAGCTATGCTAAAAGTGGTACCGCCAGAACCGGAGATCGGCTGAATGGATTCAAAAACGGTAAAACTTAACAGTTTACCTCTGGGGGAGTTGTAAAATTAGCCTATTTCCAAAAAAAGTGGAGTATCCCTTTAAGTGGAGTGATACAAACAGAGAAAAGTCCTAGAGTTGTTGGACTTTATCACCAATCTTCAAGGACCGATGTTTTATAAATATATATCTGTTGAAAAAAAATCCATCTATAATAATCTTTTCTCTTCTATTTTTCTTCAACTTGTCCTCAAAGCAAGTCCCATGCAACAAGTCAAGCACACCTGTGTGCGCAAGAGCTTGATTTGTGCCTTCGCCATTGCATTTATCATCAGCGTCATGCTCATCGCAGCCAATCAGATGCTTCGAAGAGGAATGAAATGAACAGTTCTGTTTCTAAGACAACAAATGACTGATGAAAGGAAACAAGGTAGAAATGCAAAAAAGTCCAAATGTAACTAGTTTCTAATGATCATAGTTTTACAGAAACACCAAAGGCTGCACTTTCATTCTACTATAAACTCAAGGTAAAGACAGACTGTTGTTGGACAGGCAAAAAAAAAAAAGAAATTGCCCAAAACAATATAGTTTAAAAGTGTCATGGTCATTATTGTGTAGAAACAAAACAGGAGCAATTAGTAATGATCATTGTCCTATAAAATATTACATGTTTCCTTGGCTTATGTTACAAAGTAGACATCTATTATAATGTAGCACATCATACTTCAAATATTATATTATATTGTATAGTTGTAATCCACTTTATATTAACACTGTGTCAGAGTCATTATATGACATGACATTATGACATTGACAAAAATATTTCCACAATTTGTAACAACGTTGTGTCAGCGGATCATGTATGGTAGTTTTAGATACGGTAGATTTATTTTACAAACGTGGTCCCAAACACCACCGGTTTCACCTTTTGCGATATTTGTTTATACAGAAAGAAATGACAGATGAAATAATATTTGTCTATGTCACCAAGAGTAGTTAGGCTCAGAGCAATTAAAAAAAGAAAATGAATGTACTAGAAATTTACCAGTAATAAACTGTGATGGAAAATAGTGTAAATTTGGTGAAAACCCAAAGTGTTACTGATTCTAACCTGTGCAATTGTCTTTTGTTAACTTGCAAAAACAGTATTTCTTCCAGTCTTGACCCTCAGGATTGTTTGTTGACAGATCTTTTATTAATTTGTCTACAGTTGGTTGTGTGAGAAAAAGCATTGTGAAAAATGCCTGAATATTACAGACTATTCAGATAGTGTGCCACACAAGGCTAAATGTTTTTTGTCGATATCCTGCAATATAACTGTTCTGAGTGTTAATACATATGATTACATATTTGCATGAAATGTTTCCTAGCATTTTGATAACATCAGTGTTGTCAGTAAATTATTAGTCTGTATCAATATTATCATTATTTTCTTCAACAATGTGTGGTTTTCATTGTTTTGGGGTGTTGTAATCTGTATAATGTTAAATTCTTAATTTATAAGTCACGCTATTAACTTTCTCTCACCATTTACTTTTAACCTAATCTGGGTAACACTTTACAATAAGGTTTCATTTGTTAATATTGATTAATGTGTTAACTAACATGAACTAACAACGAGCAATACATTTATTACATATTAATCTTTGTTAATGGTAGTTAATAAAATACAGTCATTCATTGTTTGTTCATTTTAGTTCACTGTGCATCAACTAATGTTAACAAATACAACTTTTTAAAAAATAATGTATTAGTAAATGTTGAAATTAAAAATGAACTAAGATTACTAAATACTTTTGAAGTATTGTTAAAGGGATAGTTCACCCAAAAATTAAAATTCTGTTATCATTTACTCACCGTCAACTGTTTGGTTGACTATATTCTTCAAAATATCTTCTTTTGTGTTCAGAAGAAAGAAATGCATACAGGTTTAGAACAACTTGAAGGTGAGTTAATGATGACAGAATTTTTATTTTTAACTAAAGTATGAAACCTTATTGTAAAGTGTTACCCTAATGTCTCCACATTGGTCAACAAGAAAATAACCGGTTAAGTTTAAAGCTTTCATTTCTATTAAGTTTATGCATTCATAACTCAAAGGGAATGAACCACCAGTACACATTATTCAAAAGTAATATTTTGAACCTAATAGCTTTAAGTTTGGTGTGAGTTAATGGTAACAAGCAATATTTGGCTTATGCATACTCTGAAATAAATGTATGCATCCAGCATCTATCTGTAATTTATGCATTTGTCAGTAATCTCAGTGCCTAAACAGTAAGTTGGATGGTGTTGTTATGTGTGTATTACGTTTGAAGTCCAAAGTCTATATTTTTGTGCACTTTCCCAGTATTGAATTCACATGTGTTTGTGCTATATCACAGATGACACTTAATTGATATGAATACGTTTCCTCTGACTGAAAAACAATAATATATGTCTGTCATGAGTAAGCATTTAAATGGATCTGCAACTGCATGATTAAAATTATAAGACCATTGCATTAGTTTAACGAGGTTGTAGAGTGAAACATATCATTATACAATTAAGACTTGATTCAGAGAAATATTATTAATATTATACATTACAGAAGGTATTTTTATGTGTAATCAGCAAACTCAGACATTCTGACTTGCTGCTTTTTTGCACAGGAAGGTATGCTGACATAATGGCACAACCTTTGCGCAAGAAGCAATGACGAAAACCTGTTTCTTTGCAGTTGCATGCATTTGTAATTTTCTGATGTTGTATTGTGTAATGTTAAAGTCAGCCTTTGTTCTCAAAATATGCAACCTATGCTTTTTGATGACAATTTACTGTGATATACAAATTGAGATACTGATTTCAGGACATCAGAAACATATCATGCTTTCGATTTCCAAAGCTCAAGCATGTGACCTGCTGTGCAAATTGTTTTTTTACACACTAATAGGATATTATTATTTAACATGGCAATATGGTTTTTCAATCAGAGTAATAAATGGGTAAGACTCCTAGAATTATATGAAATATAGTTTTATTTTTGTATTTTCCCAATATTTCTTTAATATAAATTAATCTTATTTCACATGGATAAATTACAGCACATTTACTTAAATGACATCTACTGCATTTGCCTACACAATGGCTGATACACATTGGCAGTTACAAATTAGCTCACATAATTATATTAATGTAGTGATGTAACAGTAATATATACAATGTAAGTAACTTTATATTGCATCAATGTAGCCCTAGAAAACCATCTTGAATCTATGATGTGCCAAAAACGTGCTGATGTTACATTTAAATGTACCATGTGAACAACTGAATTAAAACAGTGGTGCTTCTTCCTTGGTCTTTTTCATTATTCAACACATTCTTGCATTTGAGAGAGCAAAATCAGATTGTGAGTATCAGAGACATTGCAGAAATTAGTCTGTTAGTGCACTGAGTTTGGCTGAATTTACATTTCCACACAAATACACTTATAAAATACATGCTTTGGTGGAACAGGTCTGCTATCTTTCCTTTTGTTTTGTTTTTTGCATGTGCTGTATACAACTGATGCTGAGAATGAACTGAATGACCAGCAAAAAGTGTTTTTCAGACGACTCATTTTATCTTTGCTAATCTAATACATCACAGTCTAGCGTAACATTCATCAGTGAAGACAAAGGGAGTTTACTAAGTCCATGCAAGCAAACAGTACAAAACGTCCCTGCAACAAGCAATCAGGACTAAATTGAAAACGCTTGCCTCATCTGAATTTCAATCTACACCACAGAAGGCAGACAAAAACAATAGCGTTCAGCCTGAGAACACCCAACTTCTTGATAAAGCAACCAATTATGTTAAATCCTACCTGAGCTCCTTTACAGACACAAATTACAACTCCATATTATGAAATTAATTGTATTGGATTTTTTTTTCAGAATATATATATTTAAAAAAAAAAAAAAAGCTTTTTCTTTCAGCATGCACGTTCATTTCTATTGCTATATAATTCCATACAAATATGTACATTGTTTTCACTTCAAAAAAATTATAAAATGGCTTTGTAACAGTAACAGTTAGAAGCATGTTCTTGGGGGGGGGGGGGGGGGGGGAAGCATTAAAAAAATGATTTTTTACAAACTCCATTTCAACCCCATTCATTTTGCAGTGTCACTTTCCAACCACCATTTGGTGGGGGATGGAGAGATGGAGGAAGATCTGGAATAGACAGCAGATATGGAGGTATCTCAATGTTCTCAGTGCATTCTTCCTCTTCTATCTTTAAAACTCTGAAAATAAAAGGAGTAACAGGTTAAACTGCTGAACTCAAGAGCATGTGTGCGTATTCTCTACCATTGGAACCTATAAGCAGGTAATTATGCAAATGAAACAGCTGCAGGCATCTCACTTTATTGTGTCATGGTGACCTCTAAAACAATATTGTTCATGTATTTTGAATGCTCTGAAGCACACTTGCACCCAAGCAGCTGGAATTCCTCATGCATAAAGATAAGCAGCATGTTCAATCATAACATAAAACTGGTTTTAAAAAGTCTCTCTGTATTTACTATAATACTGAACCCCAAAAAACAGATAACATAGGAGTTTGTCGCATTTGACAAGAATTATTTAATTTTCAAATTAATTATCAAAAATATATACATACACTCACCTAAAGGATTATTAGGAACACCTGTTCAATTTCTCATTAATGCAATTATCTAATCAACCAATCACATGGCAGTTGCTTCAATGCATTTAGGGGTGTGGTCCTGGTCAAGACAATCTCCTGAACTCCAAACTGAATGTCAGAATGGGAAAGAAAGGTGATTTAAGCAATTTTGAGCATGGCATGGTTGTTGGTGCCAGACGGGCCGGTCTGAGTATTTCACAATCTGCTCAGTTACTGGGATTTGGTCCTGTGGGCGAAAATGCCTTGTTGATGCTAGAGGTCAGAGGAGAATGGGCCGACTGATTCAAGCTGATAGAAGAGCAACTTTGACTGAAATAACCACTCGTTACAACCGAGGTATGCAGCAAAGCATTTGTGAAGCGACAACACGCACAACCTTGAGGCGGATGGGCTTCAACAGCAGAAGACCCCACCGGGTACCACTCATCTCCACTACAAATAGGAAAAAGAGGCTACAATTTGCAAGAGCTCACCAAAATTGGACAGTTGAAGACTGGAAAAATGTTGCCTGGTCTGATGAGTCTCGATTTCTGTTGAGACATTCAGATGGTAGAGTCAGAATTTGGCGTAAACAGAATGAGAACATGGATCCATCATTTATCACTGTGCAGGCTGGTGGTGGTGGTGGTGTAATGGTGTGGGGGATGTTTTCTTGGCACACTTTAGGCCCCTTAGTGCCAATTGGGCATGGTTTAAATGCCACGGCCCACCTGAGCATTGTTTCTGACCATGTCCATCCCTTTATGGCCACCATGTACCCATCCTCTGATGGCTACTTCCAGCAGGATAATGCACCATGTCACAAAGCTCGAATCATTTCAAATTGGTTTCTTGAACATGACAAAATGGCCCCCACAGTCACCAGATCTCAACCCAATAGAGCATCTTTGGGATGTGGTGGAACAGGAGCTTCGTGCCCTGGATGTGCATCCCACAAATCTCCATCAACTGCAAGATGCTATCCTATCAATATGGGCCAACATTTCTAAAGAATGCTTTCAGCACCTTGTTGAATCAATGCCACGTAGAATTAAGGCAGTTCGGAAGGTGAAAGGGGGTCAAACACAGTATTAGTATGGTGTTCCTAATAATCCTTTAGGTGAGTGTATATATATACACTCACCGGCCACTTTATTAGGTACACCTGTCCAACTGCTCGTTAACACTTAATTTCTAAGCAGCCAATCACATGGCGGCAACTCAGTGCATTTAGGCATGTAGACATGGTCAAGACAATCTCCTGCAGTTCAAACCGAGCATCAGTATGGGGAAGAAAGTTGATTTGAGTGACTTTGAACGTGGCATGATTGTTGGTGCCAGAAGGGCTGGTCTGAGTATTTCAGAAACTGCTAATCTACTGGGATTTTCACGCACAACCATCTCTAGGGTTTACAGAGAATGGTCCGAAAAAGAAAAAACATCCAGTGAGCGGCAGTTCTGTGGGCGGAAATGCCTTGTTGATGCCAGAGGTCAGAGGAGAATGGCCAGACTGGTTCGAGCTGATAGAAGGGCAACAGTGACTGAAATAACCACTCGTTACAACCGAGGTATGCAGCAAAGCATTTGTGAAGGCACAACACGCACAACCTTGAGGCGGATGGGCTACAACAGCAGAAGACTCCACCGGGTACCACTCATCTCCACTACAAATAGGAAAAAGAGGCTACAATTTGCAAGAGCTCACCAAAATTGAACAGTTGAAGACTGGAAAAATGTTGCCTGGTCTGATGAGTCTCGATTTCTGTTGAGACATTCAGATGTTAGAGTCAGAATTTGGCGTAAACAGAATGAGAACATGGAACCATCATGCCTTGTTACCACTGTGCAGGCTGGTGGTGGTGGTGTAATGGTGTGGGGGATGTTTTCCTGGCACACTTTAGGCCCCTTAGTGCCAATTGGGCATCGTTTAAATGCCACGGCCTACCTGAGCATTGTTTCTGACCATGTCCATCCCTTTATGGCCACCATGTACCCATCCTCTGATGGCTACTTCCACCATGTCACAAAGCTCTAATCATTTCAAATTGGTTTCTTGAACATGACAATGAGTTCACTGTACTAAAATGGCCTCCACAGTCACCAGATCTCAACCCAATAGAGCATCTTTGGGATGTGGTGGAACGGGAGATTCGCATCATGGATGTGCAGCCGACAAATCTGCGGCAACTGTGTGATGCCATCATGTCAATATGGACCAAACTCCCTGAGGAATGCTTCCAGCACCTTGTTGAATCTATGCCACGAAGAATTGAGGCAGTTCTGAAGGCAAAAGGGGGTCCAACCCGTTACTAGCATGGGGTACCTAATAAAGTGGCCGGTGAGTGTATATATACAGTATCTCACAAAAGTGAGTACACCCTCACATTTCAGCAAACATTTTAGTATATATTCTCAAGGGACAATACCATAGAAATGAAACTTGGATATTTTATAGTCGTCAATGTGCTGCTTGTATAGCAGTATATATTTACTGTCCTTTGAAAATAACTCAACATACAGCCATTGTTGTCGAAATACCTGGCAACAAAATTTTATTTTGTGTGAGCACCATTGTTATCTAGCATTGCCTTAATCCTTCTAGGCATGGAATTCACCAGAGCTGCACAGGTTGTTTCTGGGACCCTCTTCCACTCCACCATAATGACATCATGGAGCTGCTGGGTGTTAGACACATGGCGCTTCTCCACCTTCCGCTTGAGGACGCCCCACAGGTGCTCAATAGGGTCCAGGTCTGGAGACATACTAGGCCACTCCATCACCTTCACCTTCAGCTTCCTCAGCAAGGCAGTTGTCATCTTGGCGGTGTGTTTGGGGTCATTATCATGCCGTTCGGCCCAGTTTCTGAAGGCAGGGCATCAGGTTCTGCTTCAGAATGTCACAGTACATGTTAGAATCCATGTTTCCCTCAATGAAGCGCAGCTCCCCAGTACCAGCAGCACTCATGCAGCCCTAGACCATGAAGCTACCACCACCATGCTTGACTGTAGGCAAGACACAATTTTCTTGGTACTCCTTAACAGGGCGTCACCAAACATGCTGGACACCACCTGAGCCAAACTAGTTTATCTTAGTCTCATCAGGCCACAGGACATGGTTCCAGTAATTCATGCTCTTGGACAGGTTGCTTTCCGCAAACTGTTTGTGGGCTTTCTTGTGAGCCAGCTTCAGGAGAGGCTTCCTTCTGGGACGACGGCCATGCAAACCGACATGTTGCAGTGTGCGGTGTATGGTCTGAGCACTGACAAGCTGACCTTCCGCTTCTGCAACCTCTAAAACAATGCTGGCATGATCATGCGTCTGTTTTTTGAAGCCAGCTTCTGCACCTGACGTACAGCACGAGGACTCAACTTCTTTGATTGACCCTTGCGAGGCCTGTTCCAAGTGGAACCTGTCTTGGAAAACCTCTGTATGACCCTGGCCTGTACTGTAACTCAGTTTTAAGCCATCTTTGTGGATAGCAACAAGTGTTCCAGTTCAAATTGGTTAGATTTTTTAGGGAAATGAAAGGGATCTCTATCTTTTATTCACTCAATAGCCTACGAACGCAACATAGCGCAATATAAAATATAATAAAAAAAATATCAGTAGCAAACGTAGCTACGATTACAGTGGAACATTTAAATCAGCGTTGGCGCTGCCGCTGACCCAGAGAGAGCAGCTGTCATATATAGGTATGAAATAGCTTTACAAAAAGTATCATTATTTCTGTGTTACAGTAATTCAACTGAGATAAAAGTTTATAGTTCATAATCAGATATAAACACTGAAGTCTAGGGTAGCGATCAAAATAGAGTTAAAAAAGTCTTTTTTTTAAATAATTCATTCAAATAAATTAATTTTTTTTTTTTAAATCGACTGCAGCAACTAACATTTTGTCATCAGCTCTAGCAAATTACGTTATAGCTGATAATTCAGAATCGTGGCAGAATTGTGATCTCTGTTTTAAACAAAAGAATAGTGATTTTCAATTTCCAGCTCATTGAATAAAAACAGCATAATAACCTCATGTGATGAAACAGGTTGTGAGAAGGAGGGGGAGATCAACTCATTAATACGCTTTAAATTCTGAACATGTTTAGGCAGCAACATGGTTTTTAAAAAAACTCCAATGTCTATGGTAACATCCTCAAAAATAAAAGATTTATAAAATGATAAAAACATCACATTTCAACCATTGTTTAAGAAAAAGGATAAGTTAATATTATTATATTACTATCAAAATTATTTTGATTTTTAGAATGCACATTAGCTTGCTTTACCCTTAACTCTGGATTCACCTTTAAATGCATTTAATAATTGTTGATTTAACTGAGCATTAAACTGAGACGTAGCCATCCAAAACATTCTACAGTCTTCCGTAATCTGAGGACAGGTTAAATGTATTTAAAATGTCTGTGTGACCTGTTCAATTCTGCATGCACCACATATGCAAATTCTTACACAATGTATCTTGAATTTGGCCAAAATTAAAATAAACGGGTAATTATCTCAATCCGTTGAATGTTTGTGCCACACACACAATTCATAAATGTTGTAAATTGATCTTTCATGTGCCTGTTTTGAAATTGTTCAAGAAATTTGTGGGGGGTGGAAACATGAAATTTGTTTAATGTTATTATTATAGAAGATGTTATATTTAAATACATCTGAAAAGTCATTGAAAGTAAAAAAAAAAAAAAAAAAAAAACTCTTTCCAACTAGAGACCATCCAGTGAATCTCAGCCATTTCCAGCCCTGCGCGCAAGGAAGAAAACTGATCATTTGTCAAATTCAAGCCCGGATTACCCATCTAAGTGAATGAAACATTCATTGGAAACAAACCAGCCTTTCCAAATCACCATTCTGTCCAGGATCCTGCATTAAGTACCTTCCTGATGTCAAAGCAGCTCGTTTCTTCTCTCTTCTGGAGAGCCATTCATCAATGCTGCGCTTAGTAGATGATCTACCTTGGTCAGGGTCTTCCTTCCATTGCTTTTCATCTGACAGGAAATTACAACAATGTACTCAGTTTAACAAATTAACAAATTGTGAAAATGTATAAGTGTATGTCAACAGCCTGATCAGCATTAAGCATGCCTTCTCAGTCAACTTTAAAAGATGGCTTAAAGATCATTGATACACCTAAAAGACATCAGGAGATCACTGTAGCACCTCACCATCAATCTTTTGCTCCAGCATCTGCATGTAGCTCTCAGACATGTGTGAAAAACGACAGTTTGTACCAAATACACACTGTCCTGGAAGGCAGTGAGAGAAACAAGCGCACTATCAGGTTCATAAAAGAAAACATTTAACTAAAGAAGCAACACATCGGTTTACTCTGTCAAATGTCTTACCTGTCTGAAGAAACTTTCTGCAGGGCTCCTTTGTCCGCTCTTCATTTAAAACTGTGGCAACATCTGAAAATAAAAATTACAAATTAAAGTGCTTTACCTTAACATAATTGTTCTAAAACCTACTGCTGCTGTGTGTTGTTTTCTGTGAGTGGGTCATTCCTGGTATTCAGAATCAGTGCCTTTTGGCCATCATAAAATGTAGAAATTCCAACTCAGTTTTTAAAAGACATTTTCATGTAGTCATGATAGGGTGATGTTAAACATTTGAAAAATGATTTTGGTCAAGCTTGGGTAAATACATTTAACCATTTATTAAACAAAATAAATTAAATGGAAGATCAAAAATGTCCACCCTGTTCGGGACAAATAAACAACAGTTTCAAATACTTATGAATATTAATTTAGTACTATACTAATACTAAAAACTACGTTTTTCCATTAAAAAGATATCAGTTAATAAGTTATCAGAAAATGTGCATATTGTGTGTGAATTGTACTCACAAACACATCATTTTACATTTTTCGTTTTCAGATTCAAATGCCTAAAAAGCAGTTTTGTTTACTTTTTAAAATACTGCATTATTGATACTCCAGTACATTTTCATTGTCACTGAATTATTTGTATGTTTTTTGCTGATTTTATGACAATATTGTAAAAAATATGCTAAACAGGGTGGACTAAGTGATAGAGTGGACAAAATAATAACAGGGTGGACAGTGGACATGTGGTATAAATAATGGATGGATGATTTCCTATCTCTCACATACAAAAAGGTTACATAATTATTTTAGTTTGAACTGGACTTAGATATGAAACAATATGTAAAACATTGCCAAAGAACTTTAAATACACTACTTCAACTTTAAACATACATTACTTTCACAATTATGTACACTCTCAGTGTCCACTCTGTTAGGTCTTCTGAGGGGACATTCTGACTTAAAATCAGCCACTGAATTGCATGGTTTTTAAAACTATGATTTTGTACTAATTTTTTATATATTTTTTCCTTAACAGGGTGGACATACTAAGGTTGACTACATCAAATTAGAAAGATAAAATTGGTTAAAAAAAAAAAAAAATAGACATTTAAAATAATAGAGTATCTCGCTCACTTTTCCAGGTTGTTTTCCCTCCAAAGAAGTGATGACAGCTTTATGATATGATGACATTTAATTTCGACAGGGTGGGAAATACATTGAGGAAAAAATGTAGGCTAAACACCTTGATTATAATTGCTAAAATAAATGTAATAATTGAAAAAATTATATACATTAGAGATAATCTTTACTGATATACCCAAATGTAAATGGGATACACAGGCCTGGGAACATTTAAAAATTGTGATAAATGGTGGTTCAAAATCCAGTAAAATGTCTCCAATTATTTTTTAATAATGCTTAGAATTCAAATTGTGTTATTTATGCCTAAGAAAGGTTAAAAGTTGATATTGTTCAACATTTTAAGGCAGTAAGTTTAGACGAGACACAAAAGGCACCGAATCCCAGGAATGCCCCGAGTAACGTTACCTCTGAAGCTGTCAAACCAGGCTTTCTTCGCCCGGTGGTGCTGCACGCCGTACAGGTGCTTCTTTCTGTTGTGTAGGTTGTCCTGAAAGCTGCGGTCACAGTAGTCGCAGTAATACCTCTTCCCCATTCTTCTCAATGCAGAAAATACTACAAATCAGACCTAAATTAAAATAAATCTTAATTAAGTACAAATAAATATATATATATATCAATATGAACGTTCGATGTCGTCGTCGATTAAACACATGTTACTTCAGTCAGCCAGTTCAATATGGCGGCAATAATAACATGCTGGCTGCGCAGACTCAGAATTAAGCGACATTTTAGCGCCCTCTAGCCTCCTCTATCCAATATTATCTGCCTGCAGTCCCGGAGGCTGCATTTTCAGGACCCCACTTCTAGGACCGCATTTCTAGGACCCTAGTTTTTTTGTGACAGCGCCACCTACCGAGTCGGAGAACCGCAGTCCCAGGAACGCATTTCCAGGACCCTAGTTTTGGAGGAACGAAAAAAGTGCCACCAAGGCAGTATCTCCACCCAGTTTTAACTACATTAGAGTTTTTTAAAAAGTTTTATTACACCCAAATACTACTTTCTTTATTGCAATTAAACCAGGTTCCTAGGAATGTTGAGAAATTGGGTCTAAGTAGCATACTATAATATAACTCAAGTAAAATAAACAAGGAATCATGTTATAGCCTTTTCAGTCACTCGATGGACCACATTTTCAAGTACAGAGGGAAGACAAGGATGACTCAGGGGGTAGATTGATTGTGTATTTTACAAAATAATATATAACACTTGAACTTGAACACACAAAATCTTTTATAAAATAATATATAACAACTGAAATTGAACACACAAAATATTTTACAAAATAATATGTAACAACTGAACTTGAACACACACAAAAACAAATTTGATCATGACGTGAACCACTTCAATGGATGGACAAACACATGGACAACATCATCACTGACTCCTAAGAGAGAGAAAGAGAAGTGAATTAAATAAGGAACATTTAGTTGAACATGTTCTACTCTCTAATTTTAAATTTCATATTTAAAAGATCTTAGTTACCACAGAGTAATGATAATGATAAAAATAATGATATCAATCTTCATACCAATTACTGTTCATAATACAATTATTGCATACTGTTCAAAGATTTGGAAAAAAAAAATGATTTTGATGTTGTGGGAACAAAGGTTCTAGAAACACTCATGTCAATAAAGCCCATCTGAACTGAGAAAAAAATAATAGAGAGAGATGCAAGAAATCTGAATAGAAATAACATTATTGACACGACTTTTCCTGACCATATATAAGTAGGCCTATACAGTAAATGACACAATCTAACACGTGGGATTTTAACAGTCAATTATTATAATGGCCTCTCTGATATGTCTGACTATTAAAATGTCATATGTCTCAACCAACTTTATAAAACCATGTCAAAATGAAGAGACGTACACATAACATGTATTGTGGGTAACGTTAACAGGCTTACTGTGAGCACGTGACAGTGAAAACATTACGATTATTTTAACTGAATTAAAATGGAAAAACAATGAGTAATTAACAAGCTTTCAGAACGAACATGGTACAGTTTATTGTGCTGTAAGTAAGTCAACACAGGCTTAGCCTATCATGCAACAGCTCCGTTAAATGAACCGTAGTATTTCATTTTCCAGCATTAGAGGCTAATATATGATGGCTATGCATTCAAGACTGTTTAGCAAATCACCAGCACGTTGGCAACGTTAACTTTCCAATGAAATGCATCACAATTGTTTTTAAAGTTAAACAAATAAAAATTGATTCGCATTTGATACTCACACTCTGAATGTCATCCATTTTCGCTGGTCCTCTAATTCGGTAGGTGGCGTTGTCACTAAAAACCTAGGGTCCTAGAAATGCGGTCCTAGAAGTGGGGTCCTGAAAATGCAGCCTCCGGTGTGGTGAATAATCCGGTCACTCGGTGTGAATAGTCCGGGCGTAGGACCCAAGCAATCCGATTGGTTCAAAGCACGTTTTATAGGTAATCGCTTTGGTGCCTGGTTACAAATCATACAAAATCACTTTATTATAGAAGACGTTTGTACTACGGTATAACGAGTCATTAATGTATTTAATGTATTTTAAATTATACGTTTCATATACTAGTATTTAACCGAAGCTATAGATTGTGAAATTAAACATTTCTCGTTGTTAGTGTGTTTTTTAGTTAGCTTAGATAGTAGCATAGCATACAGCTAACGTTATCCGATGATCGTGCTATGAGCTTTACCTGAGCTTATACCACTGCACTGATACTGCCTTACCGTATTCACAGCAGTTAGTAGTGCAATTATAATTATGTCATTATTTTTTATCGCAATAATCGGCACAATATGTTACACAATATGTTTATTTTTTAAAAGAGCCATAACATAATATTTATTTGTGTGTATTACTATTTTCTTATTAACAGTTTAGACATTTAAAATAATTACAGAATGTTAGCTATGTTTTGTGGGTATAAATATTTAATTGGTTGTCAAGCCTTGACTAAAGACAGTATAATAACATTATGGAATCACAAATCTTAATGTAATCAAACCCCTTAATTTATATAATAATCTTTTATTTTAAAGAAATACCATTTTTAAGTGTGTTTTGTGACAAAGTTATTTGTTATTAAGCAATAGGGTATAATATGTTTTTTTTATTACAAGCATGTCATTTGTGTACTAATGCATTATGATGTATGGCATAATTTAATCTTAATACAGAACATCATACAATACAATAACATTTAATGTAATAAAATTAGTGAACCAAAACTTGTATAAAAATTTAATTAAATTTCACAATACATAATGAATTCAACTGAATTATGAGATGTAATATATTACATTTTTATTAACACAAAACTACAAGCAAAATGCACATCGTTTTAGGACATTTATAGAGCTTTTAAAAATACACAACAATACAAAGCAGCTTTAAACAGAAATACTTTTGTATGTCTTTACTTTCCTAAATACTTTTGTGATAGTTCTCTGGCTATACATTGTGAAGATTTAAAAACAATTAATGTCGAGTTAGCTGTGTTTAAATATTTAATGAACTGTAAGGTTAAAGTTTGAGAACTAATGAGACACAAATAGATGCAGTGTCTTTTGCTGTATGAAAAGTCAAATCTTTAGTTTGAAGTATATTCATGTTGTATATGCAGTCAATTCTTTGTGGAACCATCCTAAGGCCTACATGATGCAGTCCATCAATTTAGTGGTGGGGTCGTGACCTGGTAGGCGAGGAGGTGTCATGGACTGGCTTGAGGGAACTCTGCAAAAACACACACACATGCTGCAACACGTCATGTGCAACTGTACATTTGCACAGTCTTTAGTGCTATGGAACATCACTCACTGTTTTTACTTAGATGGGCACACTGGAAGGCACAACGCAGCAGGCGTAGTGAGCTCGCTGAACCTTGTCGTCATTTCCCCTTGGCATGATTGGGTCGTGACCTGCAAAACACACACATGCTGCAACACGTCATGTGCAACTGTACATATGCACAGTCTGTTGTGCTATGGAACATCACTCACTGTTTTTACTTGGCTATGCAAGCCCAAAGGTGCAACGCAGCAGAGCGTAGTTGGCTCGTTGAACCTGGGTGTCATGGATGGACTGGCTTGAGGGAACTCTGCAAAAACACACACACATGCTGCAGCACGTCATGTGCAACTGTACATATGCAAAGTCTTTAGTGCTATGGAACATCACTCACTGTTTTTACTTGGATGGGCACACTGGAAGGCACAACGCAGCAGGCGTAGTGAGCTCGCTGAACCTTGTCGTCATTTCCCCTTGGCATGATTGGGTCGTGACCTGCAAAAACACACACACATGCTGCAACACGTCATGTGCAACTGTACATATGCACAGTCTGTTGTGCTATGGAACATCACTCACTGTTTTTACTTGGCTATGCAAGCCCAAAGGTGCAACGCAGCAGAATGTAGTTGGCTCGTTGAACCTGGGTGTCATGGATGGACTGGCTTGAGGGAACTCTGCAAAAACACACACACATGCTGCAACACGTCATGTGCAACTGTACATATGCACAGTCTGTTGTGCTATGGAACATCACTCACTGTTTTTACTTGGATATGTAAGCCCAAAGGTGCAACGCAGCAGAATGTAGTTGGCTCGTTGAACCTGGGTGTCATGGATGGACTGGCTTGAGGGAACTCTGCAAAAACACACACACATGCTGCATCACGTCATGTGCAACTGTACATATGCACAGTCTGTTGTGCTATGGAACATCACTCACTGTTTTTACTTGGCTATGCAAGCCCAAAGGTGCAACGCAGCAGAGCGTAGTTGGCTCGTTGAACCTGGGTGTCATGGATGGACTGGCTTGAGGGAACTCTGCAAAACACACACACATGCTGCAACACGTGCATTTGTACACGCAAAGTCTGTTGTGCTGTGTAACATCACTCACTGTTAGGATGTTGTGACATTACAAGGCCATTTTAATGACACACTCCACAAGATAAGATATCTCAGCCCAAAATTGACTGAAACCTTCCATTCGTCTCAGTATTATAAGGCTGATCTGAACAACAGAAGATTAAATTTCTTAATTAAAATATATACTATATAGTATATATTTGTACCAAAATGATACCTTAAATTGCGTACCTCAGGAATCAGTTCACACATTACAAGGTCGATATGTTCAAGCTTTTTTTCCTTCTTTTGCTTAAACACAATGTTGTCAATGTGTCCTAGAAGTTCCTCAACATGTGCTGACAAGGCTGGATGAAAGCTCTTTGGTTGTGACATTTTCCCAGTCTTCGTTTGCCACCATTTGTTCCACGTAGGTTTCAGTGAGCCTTTCACAATTCTAAATACATAAGTAAGTAAATGTGTCCCCTGCCCCTGAAATTTATTTGATAGATTTTCATTTACCTTCAGACAAGAAATGTGACTGTCATCCACATGTTTCTTGATAGTGAAGGATCGCCACCAGAGAACGAACGTGTGCACCTGTAAAGCAGTTCCACCATGTGCTTTACAGAGCTGTGCAATCCTTGTGTCAAGAATCTAAAAGAAATAGTAGATATCAATAAAAATTTCGTTGAATAATATAAGAAGTACATTATAGGAGGTTCGTGTACAAACGACCATACAAATAAGCTGCCATTGGACGGA